TATGTATATAAGTGTATATATGAAACACTTTTATCTTCTTCATTTCTCTTACTCCACACACTAATTATTCCGTGAAAGAAAACTAGTGAAGAAAATAATGGAGAAGTGGTTCCGAAAATGATAACTTGTTTATGTATGTTGGTGGTGTTTGGGTTTGGTTTTTTTTTTTCCTTTAGAGCAGCAGCACATTTTCAGGAAAAACTGACTGGAACAGGAAAAATATCAAATGGGGAAACAAACACCCTTTTGTAAGTCAAGTCATGTTTTAAACAAGAAGGAGGAAGATTTTTTTTTTTGATACTCTGCCTTGAGGTAGAGCAATGTTAGAGCAGGTCTCTGCATGAGCAGGGGTTCAGGTAGCATCTGTTCCCCTGTGTCCTGCTTTCCAGGCTGCAGAAGTGACCCTGATCCAGGCTGGTGCAACCCACCTCTCCCCCTCTCCCTCTGTCCTGCCCTCGCTGTGCTCAGGGTGTGGAGCCACGGTGCAAGGGATGGATTTTGGGAGTGGGCATTGCTGCAAGGGAGGCTCCTGGAAAATATGTCTCAATGCTTTCTTAACATTCCAACTTGCCCTTCTCTCTAAGTTATGGAGGAAAAAAGAACTGAAATGGAGACAGGGGAAAGAATGCAAATACTGGCACACAAGGAAATACTGAATTACATATTGGTCGACCAAAACACAAATCAACTCAAAACTACAGGAGTCCACCAACATGCACATAAATCATTTATAACGATAATCCAAGGCTAGGTCCAAATCTCATTAAAGTATATGAATCCTTAATCTATTTTGGCAAAAAAGAGCCAATACACATTTTTTCTTTTTATCATAAATTACAGTTCTGTGGCACTGTGCAAATATTACCAAGCTGTAAGACAGCTGTGCTCCATTAAAATGTGTAATGGTCGCTGATTTCTTACAGCACATGGTCATCAGGCTGAATCTACAGCCAGTAATTAGGAAGATGAAATGTTTAATTGTGCCTTAATTTTGATAAAATTTATCTGTCACACATCCCATAGTCAAGCAGTATGCTCACAAATCAATGTCATCAGGCCCGAGAAAGAACTGAAGCACCATGCTCTTGTTCCTGACAGATTCATTTGAATATCAAACTGCTCCGGATGAGCCACCAGACTAGAAAAACAAGTAAAAACTTTCCCAATGAACACAGCTCCTATGGCATATGTCTCTCCACCTAGGCTAAAAGACACAAAGGTCAAAGCAAAAGGCAGGTATCTGCTTTTCATCTCTTGCTCAACAAGTTCCCTGGGCACAGTAGCCCACCCAAAAATTTTTAAAAGCAAAAAAACCTTCTTATTGACTACTTAATCAAGCCACAAGGGTTGTGATGCAGTGGGGTCAGGCAGTGCTTTTCATTCCTTATTTCCCCCCCTCTTGTTTGCTCTCCTGCTGAAAAACCATGTGAGGCAAAGGCAGCGTCCATTGTGTAGGCGAGAGGCAATCACTCACTTCCCTGCTGGCAGTACAGCAGTGCACATTACAGCAACCAGTCATGTGCAGATTATTACCACACATATGCATTATTATTTTTTCTTTCTTTTTTTTATACCAGAGTCCACATGTCATGTCAAAATGGGAGAGCACTGCCTGAGTAGTGCCCACTTCCAGTTTTCAAAAATGCATGATTTACTTTTAATACATCCAAATACAGGAACCATTCTGCTCATGAATGATTTTTTCCATCTTCACCCAAGATAGACTGACTATTTTACCACGATGGTGGGCACACTGGCCTCTGCTCAAAAATGCTTCTTAATTGTTTTCAAAGAGCTATTGTTGATATTGCCCATCTGTCCGACTGGAAGATACAGTTGTGGTATAATGGCACTCCAGCTACAGAGACTGAACCCAGCAGTGCCAGATTAATGAACATAAGCTTTCCACTGCTTGTGCAAAAAGACAACACCCACAACTTCAGAAGCCTCAACTGACTCAGAAGCAGTGATACATGGTCCAGACAGACCCAGGGAAGAAAGGATGACATCAGTCTTCCTATGGGCCACAGTGCAACAGAAATTGCATAGGCACCTTGGTGCTATGAGTGAGAGTGGTTATTACCACCTCCCTGATTTAGAGCAAAGCCTCACCAAACCTCAGGTATCATATAGTTTTGGAGTTGGAAGAGCTTACCACTGTGCGTTCACTGGACCAAACCACCTGATGTTGGGAATCTGGTTTTCTTTTTGCATCTATTGAAGGATGACTCATTGTGTGTCTCAGGAAAGAGCAAGAGCCCTGGTTTTGCTCCCCTGTACACACAGCCATGTATTCTGCAGATAGCTGTAAACTGAACATTATTGAAAAAGTATCACAAAGGCAAATTTGGCAGCATCTGCCATTCTGATAATCAATTCAGAGGGACAAAAGCTTAGGACTATATTCACTCTGCTGTTAAGGCAGGAGACTGCATATACTGGGTTGCTTACTAGTCTCATTTTCTCTACAGAACTGTCATGTGTCCCTCCTTCTTTTAAATCCAAGAGTAGGTTTTGCTAACCCTCCCCATGAAGTCCTGCCATTCTACCTGCTGATCATATTACCTTTGCAGTTTTTCCACCCTTTCTACTGTAGACCCAGAAGATTTTTGGAATGACTGATTAAAGGCCCCACCTGGGGCTGACCCAGGAAACCCTCTTCTCCCTTGTCTTTGAAAATCAGTTAGGTGCTGTGAACAGGTCAGTTGGGTTTTTCCCCATTTAAAAGCATATATTTACAGATAGATATTAACTGTATCTTCCAGAGACAATTGTCAGCTATCATCCGTCCCTTTGCATGTTCCAGGTTACATTATCATAGCACACTCTAAACAGAACTACGCACTAGATCTACACTAGAACAATCACAGAAACTGAACCAAGGGCAAAATTCCTGCTTGCTATCCACCATAACAGCTCTAGCCCTGAGTCATGGCCAGCATACCCTGACTTCACAGCACTAAAACACTTAAAGCCCACTTCCTGGAGAGAGTTTTCCATGTCATATCTCTTGCTGTAAACAGATATCATTTATTTATCTGTAATTTATTCTTTAGTTTAGTTCTGCATAGTGTTGACAAAGGAGGATCTGCTCACCTTCTCATCCTAGCTTTTTGCAAGATGCTGCTTGTAATGTACACAGACTGCTGTAAAGTAAAAATAATTGCTTTGCTTTATGCTGAATTGCTCTATCTAGGGTTTCTCTTGAGTGTGTGCATCAGGACTGCTTGCATCAGATAGAAAGTTTCCCCTTTTTTTAATAAATATTGAATCCTCAAAATCTTGTGAAAATATCATGGGTGACAAAAAGGTTTAAACCCACATAATTATGTTATCTTCATCAAAAATCTTACAATTCTGTCTGCAAAAAGAACAAAAACCAAAGTATACAAACTAGATAAGCTCACCAGCTCATTCTAACCTGGACAAAAACAGAAGTGGAAAAGTGTTGATTTTGAGTTTCTAACTTCCTATGAAATTTTGACATAAAAAATACACAGGCACTAAATCAGAAATTTGATACAAAAATCATTGAAAAAATACACAGGAGTTTTAACAATTGAGAAAATTATGAGCTGTACCATTCTGTCTTCTCTGATTTCATTACTACTGTTATGCATCTTTGGATACATCCCATGGCCCCCATGACAGAAGACTCTTAACAGATATTAGTTTGGAGTAAATGTAAAATCTTCAATTGTAAGTGCTGGAAAGGAGGGCAGGAGATAATGCATCACAGCTTTCATTTCATCAGCCTCCTCTGAAATGTTCTAGTTCTCCTTTATTCCATCTTCTATTTCACAGCAGTACTGGAGGCTATAGTAAAAGGATTTCTTATCTTTCTTGAATCATTTTTCAGTTGTGTTTGGTTTGGTTCTAATTCTTTAATGTTAATGAGATTACAGATTTTAACAGTGATTATGACAATGTTAACAGACTCTGAATCTCTCTGAAGTCTGTTTTACCTAAGTTTTCTTACATAATTGTCTGGTTTACTTATTTACTTAACTATATGAATTTAGTGCCTTCTTGTAACATCTCAAAAGATCAAGCTTACAATCAAAATTGTTGGTAACCATTTTTGGTTACCAACCTAAATTTACAGATCTTTGAGGTAGTCAAACATAAAGCTATAAATCCTTTCTGGGGCAGTCAAACATGCAGGTAACTATGCTGTTACCATTAGTGTTACTAATGATGACAGCCCTCCTTCTTTTGGGGGGGGTTCATTTGCTTGTGGTGGTTGTTTTTTTCGCCCTAGACAATCCACAACAACGAGCTTGGTGGGGGATATTTTAAATTTTGCATGTATAAAGTCTGTAGTAGTTTCTTCACAGGTTTCTACTGGAACCTCAATGTAACATGTCACTTCCCTCCAGTGGAATGGGGAAGAGATTCAGAAGCGTAAAAGTGAGGAAAATCATGGGTTGAGATATAGACAAGTAAAGCAAAAGCTGTGCATGCAAGCAGAGCAAAACAAGGAATTCAGTCACCATTTTCCATGGGCAGGCAAGTGTTCAGCCATCTCCAAGAAAGCAGGGCCCCATTACACACTAATGGTTACTTGGGATGACAAACATTGTCATTACGAATGTCACCCCCCCTTTCCTTCTTCTTCCTCCAGCTTTATATACTGAGCATGACACCATATGTTATGGAATATCACTGTGGTCAGTTTGGGTCAGCTGTCCCCCTGTGTCCCTTCCCAACTCCCTGTGCACTACTTGCTTTTGGGTGATGTAAGGAGCAGAAAAGGCCTTGACTCTGTATAAGCACTGCTCAGCAGTAATGAAAACATTCCTATATTATCAACACTGTTTTCAGCACAAATCCAAAACATAGCCTCATACTAGCTCCTATGAAGAAAATTATCTTTATCCCAGCCAACACCATCACACATGTTCACACTCAAGCATTAGTATCATCACTTATACCAAATGTTTTATTGTCTGAGGAGTGAAAAAGACTTTTTTGGTATTTATTTATATTTGAGTACCTACCTGCACAAATAATGAAAAATGGGTGCCTGCCACAGACAGCTTATAGCCTGGCTTTCTGAAGAGACAAAACAGATGATGGAAAGAGACAAATACTGTGGGTAAGTGAGGAAATGAAAAAATAAAAATGTTTCTCTGTGTAAAAAATAGGGTCCTCCCCCTCTGTTTGGTAATTGTCAACGGGCATTTTTCTGCCGACACTGCGTTAAAACTAATTGTAAAGATGAAATTACAGGAACATAGCATGGCAGATTTCTGGATTTAGACAGAAGCTTTTTCCCAAGCATAATGAGTACTGATAAGAAGAGAGTAATGCTGTTCTTTGTCAAATCTCTAATTTTTTTGAGACAATATCAGAACTTTCAACCCAGTGCTCTGTGATTATCTTTCCAAAGCCTGAAGTGTGAATTCTGTCTAATAGCTTGCAATTAAAAACAAGGTGCGCCTGTAACCATGAATATGATCATTCTATAATTCAACTAAGGTCAAAGTGAATTCCTTTAACTAATCCTTCACACCATCCTACCCTAGTTTCTGTTTAAAAAAGGAAGAGTCAATGTGAAACACATCAAATGTAGATTTGAATACGTCATATTGCACAGGGCTGTCTTGGGTTAATTTGTGTCCATCAATCTTGCTTGCACATTATGTCTCTTCCCTCTGTCTTTTTCTCCCAACTTTATAACTGGCAGAATATGAGAAGACTGCCATTCCCATAAGGATCTCTTTTAAGGTCAATGAAATGCCAGTGGACACAGCAAGCTGCCTTAAATACCACCAATTGCAGAAGTGCTGCAGTACTAGAAACTCTGTGATGTTAAAAATTAGTGCTTGCTTAGTTTTTGTGTTTGTAAAGGGGGTAACACAATGGTACTCTCTCCTCATTGATCTGCAGATGTTACAAATGTGCAAATTAATCATCAGTAATATAATGTTATACACACCTACATTTCATTCGGCAGCAACTGAACTAAAAAAAGTGTCACTATAATTCACCAAACATTCTAAGAAGTCTGAAAAATTCTGTTAATGAACAGAGAGGAAATAACTATCACAGCTCATATCACAATCTTACTCCAGAAGAATGTTGAAACAGCAGTGGAGGGAAAAATAATCTATGCATATTTAAATCCTAACCTTAGGGGAATCTTTATAGCTAGTTTTTGTAAGACCTTAGGGAATCAGTGTCAATAGATTAGTAGAATAAGAAATAAAATGTACAGGAATTGCTTCAAGGTGCAGAAAGTACACTTCAAAATTATTCAGAAGGAAAAGAATGTACTACTTGCATTATACTCAAGTTAATATTTTTACAATGGATTTTTAGTATGTTTTTCCTACTCACATTCTTTGGTCTGTTCTTTATATATAATAATACTGGCAATAAGATAACACCTAAAGAAAACTAGTTGTAATTAATGTCTTTTTTGTTTCTGAATTTTTCACTCATCTAATCAGAGAGAAGGAATAATGCAATGTAATTTGAAGACCATGGAGCCCCCAAAGAGGGGAAGACCATTTCAAATAATTTGCAATTAAGCAAACAACTTTTGCTGGTTTTAGTATCAGCATACAGTATTCCATGTGCTGAACAAATCTAGAAATCATCAACTGTTTTGAGGAAAACCCTTAGAAAAGAATGTTAATGTCTGTTGAATACATTTTCAACATAAACCATTCATCCATTTCTATTTAGGATTTATTTCTTAGCACTCTGGTTTAGAAGGCTACAAGCCAATACTTGGTTGTAGTCCAACAACATCCTACATCCCCCAGGCAGATGATTTTACATTATAATAAATTAATACATTTTAAAACAAAGGCCACACATGAACCTACAAAAACCTCTGCCAAACAAGGTGCCATTACTCCTAGGGCAGCAGGTGGAGCTTTGGACAGAAAGGTGTAAGGAACACTATTTTTAAGGAACATGCTTAAATTCAGGATTTTCTGGATTATCAGGGCCTGGCACAACCCCAAATATCTGAAAGCTGCTTCCTCAGAAAAATGGGCTCCACAGCACTGACAGCGGGAACAAAGCCTCATCTCCAGCCTGCGTAACACAGTGTCCATCTGGACTGTGGCCACAGCAGCGAGTAATGGGGTGAACGGGGGAGTGGGCGCAGACTACAGGTCCCCACTTCAGTGAGCCAGTGGTAGTGCACCTCAGCAGAAGAGGCTCTCACAAGCCAGGCAATCTGCCTCTCTGCTGTTGTATGGGCTGCATACCATAACGCCACAAGCTGCCGTGCCGTCTCCTGTTCTATTCTTCCACGGCAGTGCATGCCTGGGCCCTTCCATGCCTCCACATTGTAGTTTGACCCTGTAAGTGAAGGGCGAGCAGCAGGTTTGTCCTAGAAAAGGAATAAAAAACAACCTTCTGACCTGTTGAACTGCTTGTTACTAGCTGTAAAGACTGAAAGTAAGGAGGTGAATGCAAACGTCATGGAAGCAGTTCTGCGGTTTCAATTAAAGGACATTCAATCTATACTGTACTTTAAGACAGGCTGAGTGTCTAGATTCTTAACCTGCCAGGTGAACATGACGTTTTCTGATCCAACGGTGTGCTGGAGACCTGCAGGTAGCTGCCATACAGTCACAGCGTAGCTCCAAGGGAGTGCTGTTAGACTCGTAGTATGTGCAGTAATTGGCTTTTGTTTGAGCTACTTGGACCAGAAAAAAAACCTTCTCCTGTGCTGACCCTGGGCGCCAGCCATATTGAAGAATGAAGGGTTGTTGGCCTGCGGTGCCAACATACTCCACCTTCACGGGGAGGCCGTGCCCCTCACGCTCCAGCAATGCCAGACGGCGCTCGGATGAGGCGGGCTGGGTCTGGCAGGTGGCGGCACAGGAGGTAGTAAGTGAGAGCAGCACAGCATAACTAGCTGTAGCATAGCAGTAGAATAATATCCTCGCGTCCTCAAAACCATAGGAGTGTTTTTGACTTTGACTGCTTCCAATACCTAACAAATATGAGATCATGGCTTCTGGCATAAAATGGGCAAATTCGTAGCCATGCCGGCAAGACTGCCAGTGGTGGGAGGAGGTGTCACCCACCCCATCCCAACAGGTAGTCCATTGACTTCAAACCAGCATCAACTCCTCCTCTGTATGCTGCCCCAAACCACTTTATTTTTACCCAGTCTATACCCATGCAAGCCAGCAGACTCTCACAAAAGGATCCTTTATGTAACAAATCCCCCTTTCTTTTGAACTGGAAAGAACAGCATGGTACGCTACCTCCTAAGCTGTTATGCTACGTCCTAGGTTGGCTTTGTTTGCTGTTTTAACTCTTTGCAGTAAATAACAGTTTGGTCTCAAAATGTGCTCCTTCTAAGGAATACAGATCTGCAGAAGCAAACAAACAAAAACTGAGATGTGAGAGCAGAGGCACTGGGCCCAAACACAGCTAGGCAACTTTGCTATGCAATAAAAGTCTATGAAATATTGATTTCACTAGCTGAAATGAAGACTGGTTTTTGAAAAGCTGGTTTTGGTACCAAAAATAGAAATACTGTGGACTGGAAAAGGTCACAATGCAACATTTTACCAAAATCATCCTCCAAAATGTGTACAACCCCCTATTTTCTAATTATGAGTATTTCAGCACCTAACTATTTTTGCTAGAAAATCCTTGTCTCTGTAAGCTAGCTTAAGGGAGAACAAGTTTGAAGCAGGGATTTGCACTCTGGAGGATCTGTCTGTCCCATACGTAACTGTGTCTGTGACTCACAGGTGAGAGTGCCAGAAGGCAGGATTAAGCAAACAGCTCTAGATTTCAGTGACACATATTGTTCTGTTGGAAGCATGTCCACAAACAAAGGAAAGAGAAATTGTGCATGTGTGTACGTGTGAGTGCGAGTGTAAAAAATGTTACAAATTCATATCATGATGCTGAGTTTTATTCTTTCTGGCTTGAGTATCAACACACACCAAAAAAGGCCTGAAACAGTATTCTGTTCTTCATTTATCTCTGTGCAGTGCCTCAAGAATAGGATAGGATAGACTAGAGTAGAATAGAATAGACTAGAATAGAATAGAATAGAATAGGTGTTCATGCAAAAGCATTTAAAAAAAAACACCAAAAAAAATCACGATGAAAGATGCAAGCAAAAATCCAGTTTGTATGATATGTCTGCTAATACTTCAGTAAGCATGAAAAAGAAGAGGAATCAAAATGCACTCTTCAGTAAAATTACTATGATTCTGATTCAAAGTAAGCAAAGATCTGATGAACAAGAAGGCTCCTGATGTAGAATAAATCAACCTTTATGGTACAGTGAGATTACAAGGTCAGAAGTTTCTCTCCTTCCAATGGGAATCAGGTCTTGTCTTATCAGTATATTTACAAATCACAGAATCATAGAATCTATGGTGAGAGAATTTTTAGGTGAGAAAAGACCCTTAAGATCATTGAGCTCTACTGTACACCTAACACTGCTGAGGCTATAAGCACCATGTTTACACATCATTCAAATACTACCAGGAATTCTGACTCAACGGCTTCCCTGGGAATCCTGTTTCAGTGGTCGACAATCATTTCAGTGAAGAAATTTTTCCTATCTTATCCTCCCTTGGCACATCTTGAGACGATTTCCCCTTGTCCTATCATTGTTACTTGGGAGAAGAGCCCAACACCCACCTCATTACACCCTCCTTTCAGGTAGTTGCAAAGAGCAGTAAGGTCTTCCCATGTCTCCTTTTCTGGAGACTGAACAACATCAATTCCCTCATCCTCTCCTCATGACCCTTCTCCAGCTTCATTGCCCCTCTTTGGACATGCACCAGGAGAATGTCTTTCTTGTAGTGAGGGGCCCAAAACTGAACACAGTATTTGAGGTGAGGCCTCATCAGTGCTGAGTGCTGGGGCACAATCATTTCCCTAGTCCTACTGGCCACACTATTTCTGATACAAATGTTGGCAAGTATTTGTATTTGCCACAAATTCTGCACCAATAGCGTTTTATTTAAAATATTGCATTTGTTATAATAATTACTGTATTGGGAAATAAAAGTACATTTGACTAAAGTAGTTCACTAAGGTTGAACTCAATGAGTGCACATTGATTAGCGTGCCACACTGGAGGTGATAATCTGGTCTGGTATTTGTTGAAGCACTATATTCATTGGGTGATGAAGCCCTGCAATAAAGGTAAACTAATGGAAGCAATTAGGAAAGAACACCTGTCTGTGGAAGACTGCAACCTCTACATTGACCATAGCCGGAAATTTCTAACAGTTGTCATGCACAACAGTGGAAGTTCTCTGGATGGTGAATGCAGGTAATGATGAACTGCAGTAACATTTGAAAATGAGTTTTCACATTGTCCAGTAAAATTATATGACTTTGTCTATCTGTGTTCACACATACCAACACATGGCTAAGCAATAAAACGGTGTCAGGAAGGTGCTAATTGCTATTGTTGGTGAAAAGTATCTTTGCACTTCTGAAGGACCTGGGTCCAAATTTCCCTTTGGCCACAAATGGGCCTGAGTCTTTTGATTTTACCATAACCTTTGGTGGAAGATTACTCTTATTGGGCAGGTTAGGTCAGCTATTGTTCTCTGTTCCACTTCCAGGACCATAATAACAAAGTTATTTGCAAATTAGCCATGACAGCAAAGTTGGAAGGATAATGTCCATTTGCACTGTGTGACTTAACCAGCAGATGACACAGCACTGTGCATTTTACTAGCAATATATTTTACTTGTTACTTGAATTGTAGACATAAACTGTTCACAAAAGAAGCAACTTTTGACTTTAAGAATTAGAGAGACCCTTAGAGAGTGTTATTCAGGTAGAATCACATGCTTCTTTTCCAGTTCTCAGCTGGACAATAAATATTTGACACACAGTTTAATTCCTCAACATGATTCTATGATTCTATGATTTCCTGTGAAAACAGGGAAGTGAAGGGGAGGAGGTGCAGTAACAGTATTAGAGAGGGAGGAAGGGGTGTGGGGCAGAAGAAAAAGAAGATGTCTGTTTGCACTGACAACCATAGGCTTGGCACACTAATGCATGCGAATCATGAAAGACCTCTAAACATCAGATGTTCATGTCCACCAAATGACAATGGTTTCAGCAAGGGAAGAGACTGGTAGGACTGGCATAGGATCTCCAGTAGAAGCATGAGAAGCCAATCAAATGTTGCTTTTGAAATTTTTATCACCAAAATCTCAAAAAAAGAATATTCTTTTTAGTTCATAATTACGTGACTTTTTTATTATATTAATCAGTAAAACGTGTATATTGCAACTGTTGTGGAGAGAACAAGCAATTCCCTTAAATATACTTCCCCTCACTGCTGTAATGTAACTAAATGAAACTACGCCATGCCTCCAAAAAAACCCAGTCTCAATAGGAAGATTTAATCAATAGACTTAATTTAATTCCATAATGATGAACTGACTGTCTTTAGGGCCTAATTTTCTGTTCTGTACAGATGATAGTGGAATCTGACTTTCTTTTGGCACAACTGTTTACATACAATGAGACACAAATCTCTATATACAAATTGATTAATTAGAAATCCATTAAAGGAATATAAATTGTAAAAGTAATCAGAATTAGAGCAACACTATTTTTGGTTGAGTTGGATCTTGCACCTGTAATTTCAATGTGCTTTTTACATGGCAGATAATTACTGCTACATTTCATTCTTTTTTCTTTTCTCTATCTTTTCTTTTTTAATTACTTTTCAGGAACCAGGTACAGAAGAGATGTCTGCAGATATGTTCACAATCTGATGCATTCCAGAGGACCTTCCAATTAAGTAGACTACTACTGAGAACAGCTTTTACTCATGATGTAAGAAGCATCAGAAAAAGTTATCAAGACAGGTCTCTCTTAATCATTTATGCAAAGCCTACAAGTGATTTGTAGCAGCAATATGCTTCTTACTCTCAGTTCTAGCCTGTCCTAACTATGCATGAAATCTTATACCTATCTGATATTTGGACAGTTTTCACACATAGAGATACAACATTTTGTTGAATCTACCTGAAGTTTTGTCTTAAATTGTGTCTTAAATTCCCAGTTTCATTGAACATGAAAATAAATGGTTCCTTGAAATAGAAGTTTTCAGCAATGAAGAATTCCAACAGATTTACTGTAGGGTTTGTGGCATGAATAAAGAAATATATAAGGATTTTGTTAGTGACTGTGTTTTCTCTGGATTAGACTTTTTCTTGCAGTGAACTATGAAAGTGAGAAATAGTAGAAGGGAAATGAACATGTTTGCCTTCTTCTCCAAATGTGGAAATTCATCATATACTTTGCGAGATGAGACAAGCGCACAAACAGTTGAGGATGAGTTAG